CAGCTGCGATTGCCATTCGCTGGTGTCGTCCTTTTCGCAGCACGATGGAAGGTTTCAACGACAATGATGGAGCGCATGAACCACAACATCGGCAATGGAAATCATTATTGAATAGCATAGAAATAAGGAGAACGTCGCTTGGTTAGTTGGTACCATATTTACTCGCAATTCACGTCGTGAGCTCCAGGAATTCTACTCGAACTCTTTCGCATCAGCTCGGCTCGGAACTCTTCTCCCCTCTTCAACTTGACCACGAGTAGAAATTACAATTAAGATACAAATTGATCATTAGAAAGATTTACTATCATGTTTTCCTACATGAATCAAGCAGATCCAGTTCTTGATGACGATGAGATCCACCAGGACGAAGTCATTCGCGAAAAGCTGGAGCAATTTGGATCGACGGCTGCTCGTCACGTTTGGAAGGATGTTTGCACCGACGCGACGGCTTTAAAGTATCGCTTGTTAGTTTTACTGGAATGGCTGTTTCCAATGGTGATTGTCTACCAGCAAGACTCGTCGAGATTTTATCAGGACTTGCAGCATTTGGGTATTGCATTCCTCTTGTTTTTGTGGGGATGCTACGTGTTGGCCCCTCGGCAGACAAGCATTCGAGGCAAGACGGTTTGGAATCAAAGCTGCAATTGGTTGTCGGGCGCTATACATTTAGGAGAAATAAGTTCTGCATCGTCGCCTAGCCCTGGTCAGTCAGCTGCTGGAAGCGGGTCGCAGGTTGACGAGCATGGCTTGTCATGCCATGACGATGAATCGGACGAGGAGCGCTTTGAAAAATTCTTTGCGTCTTTGGACGAGACAAGCTTTCTGCGACGGCTAGTCCTTTCTCCAAGCTGCCGGTTGGTGGAGAAGCCGGCAAAGGTTGAAGTCAAGAAGCAGCAGCAAAGCCAAAAGAACAAGGACTCGCGCAGCGAGGAGGAAAATCCGGCGCAGCGCTTGTCCAACTACTGTCGACAGATTTGGCAATTGATTCGTTCCATATTTTGGTTCGATTTTGTCGGAGCAGGTTGGACGTTGATTAACTGGCTGCAGGGCATACAACGACATCGAAAGAATAGCAACTCTGATGTTGAGCAGGACGATGACTTGGCAGAAGACGAAACTGTTAGTGGCGAGAGTAAAAAGCCCATGAAATCGCCTCGAAGCGCCCAATACCACCCCACCATCGTGCCTGAGACGACTGACGATGAAGTCGCGGGGAGCTCTGGGCTGGCGCAGGCGTCTCCTTTAGTCACTAAAACAAAATCCTTGTCCAACGTACAAGGCAAGGCAGCAGCCTCTCCAAAAGAAGCAAAGTTACGGCGTCCACGATCAGACAGTGAGCTATCGGATGATATGGATAATAGCCATTCGACGCAGTCTACGAGCGATGGCAGGTCGGGTTTGGTCACGAGCCTCGTACGCCAGCGAGGGAGTTCCGATTCTGCTGTGGCGTCTCAGCCAAAGAAGGATGCCTTGATTGCCTGGAGACGGTCGCACCGGAAATTGGACGACTTGTTAATTGGAGACTTGCCAACTACTTTTGAATCACCTGTTGAAGAATCGCACAGTGACAGTCCGCCATTGGATGATGAGTACGAGCAAGATATCGAACAAGACGCCACCCCGTCGAGACCAACCTCGCAAGCACAACATGAGCCCGCGACAACCCTTTCATCACCTCAAGGGGAATGGTCAGGACGCTTCTACTTCGATTCTGCTCAAAATGACATGTCATTAAAGAGACTGTCGATCGATATCCCTGTACCAGACAAGAATGGATACATCGTTGGTGATCGGTTTTTGTCAGACTCGAAAAATGCGACGCCGCTGTTGGTATTTGTTAATTCACGTTCCGGGGCGCAGCAAGGCCAGCTAATCATTACTCAGTTGCGGCGGCTATTGAACCCGATTCAAATTTGGGACTTGGCGAATGGTGGTCCGGACATTGTCTTGGAATCCATGGTGGCTTTGACGCGGCTTCGGATCTTGGTATGCGGAGGTGACGGAACAGTTAGTTGGATGATTAATTCGCTAGAAAAGATGAAGCTACAGCGCAAGTGGCCCCCAATTGCCATATTGCCGCTGGGTACTGGGAATGACTTGGCGCGCATGCATGGATGGGGTGGTGGCTACAACAATGAGAGTCTGCTGACGATACTCGAACAGATATCGGAAAGCTACATTTCGCTTCTCGATCGATGGGATGTCACGATAAACAACAAACAATCCAAAAAGAAAGATAGCAAGAGCTTTATGAACTATCTGGGCGTTGGAGCTGACGCGCAAGCAGCTTTGCAGGTGCATTACTTGCGAGAGAGTCGGCCAGACTGGTTCTTCTCCCGGATCGTTAACAAGGTCTGGTATGGTATTTTTGGAGCGGAAGATATCATCATGGCTTCCTCTGTCAATGTGCGCAAGGAAATCAAGCTGGTGGCAGACGGTGTGTCCATTCCGTTGCCGCCTGATTCGCAAGGCATTATCATTCTGAATATAGACTCGTACGCTGGCGGTGTTCCCATGTGGTCTCACGGAGTGAAAGATGCTAGTTATAACGAATGGCGACAACCTCCGCCACGGCGGTCAAAGAGTCTCAACTCACTTGCGTTCAAGCGACAACGGGGTGGACCGCTGGACAGAACAGACAGCGCAGATGATTTGTCAATGCTTACCATGTCGGACGAAGAGCGATACGAGTATGTCACGGCATGCGACAGATCAAGCAGCTGTCAAGACGGCATTTTAGAGATCGTTTCGATTCGTGGAGCCTTTCATCTAGGTCAGATTCGCGTCGGGCTTGGCAATGCGCAGCGCCTTTGTCAATGTCGCGAAGCTGTCATTACAGTCAAGAATAAGGTTGCCGTGCAGATTGACGGCGAGCCATGGAAGCAGCGACCTTGCACCATCAAGGTGAGGCGCAAGCCTGAACATGCCGTCATGCTCCATCGTTCCATGGATGACGGAGGCATTGAAGCGGAAATGAGCAAGTTGCTGGATTTTGCCGAGGAGCGCCAGCTGATTACCCGCGAGGCTCATGCAGTTCTCATGAAGGAGTTTAGCCGGCGGATTGAGAGTTTAACGAGGCAGCGGCGTGTGCGCGAGCAAGACAACATTATGCTAACGCTGAAAAAGGCAATTTCACAGAATGCGCTCGCTTCGAACATGAACTCATCGAATCCCTGGCCTGGAGGTATAGCTTTTTAATCGCGGTTTGAATGCTCGCAGCTACTATGTATGTTAGGGATGCATGTTGTTGTAACGTGAAGTGCTTTATATCTCGTCAACAATCGAACATAGTACGCTATAGTATACTATCAAATACAGTCTCCGAGGTGCGTTTGGAAGTGGAAAGCAAACTATTAACGGTGCGACATGCGCGACACATTCGACGCGCCGACCATCACAAGGAAGAAGCAACGCAGCAAATTTCGTCTATCTTGTGTCCACTTTCCCATCTTCCTGGCCACTGTCCATGAATGCTGAGCCGATCAGTTCTCTGTGGGGCGAAACGAATTTCTGTGGCATCAGGCAAGCGAGCTCGAATGACTGCTGCTGCAGGAGATGCTGCTCATGCAATCGTTGACGATCCCTGCTGGGGATCGTCAAGCCAGTGCTCCTTGTCACACTTGATGCAGCAACTGGATCGATCCAAGAGTATCATTTACGAATCTGACGACTACATTGTGCTCAACAAGCCTCCTGACTTGCGAATGGACGGTGAATACCCTGCGACGGTGCGAAAGCTCTTGGCAACTTGGTTTCCTTCACAGCCTTTGCCACTCGACCAAGATTCGGACTCGGATGGCTTGCTGCGACCATGCCATCAACTCGACTATGCTACCAGCGGTATATTACTTGTGGCGCGACACAAGGTTGCTGCTAATACTGCTCGACTGGCGTTTGAGAATCGGCAGGCCAAGAAGGGCTACGTTGCGCTCGTTCACGGACACGTTCAGATACACAAAGACTGGCCCGTGATTTCTCGCGAGCAACTGCAATCTTCGATGGAGATGCAAGAGTCATTGTATCGATCGACGAGACGTAAGCGTCGAAAAGACACTTGGAATGGTTTCCAACCTCCGCATGCATTGTTTCAGCAGTGGCAAATGCAGCGCAAGCACATTGGCAAGGAACGAACCCAATCCAAGCTGACGCCCAACGAATGGAAGGACGTGTGGCAACAATTAGAAACATTGTCCGCAGAGGAGATACATGCGCTTGAAACCATGAGATGGAAACAAGTCAAGGATGCGCGAAAGACGCATTACTTTGAGCGAGCCGCTAATATTTACAATGTTACTGCCAAGCGCAAACTGGACGCATCAAAGGTCGATCACATTGATCCGCTACAGCTTCCCACCTTTTTTCGCGTCAAGGAAGGCGAGGCATTAGAAAACAGTAGCAGCAGCAGCAGCAGCAGCAGCAGCAGCAGCAGCAGCGTCTTTTACATTTTTGCGCCGCTCGCCCAGACGGAGGATGATTTCGCCATGCGCATTCATTCCAATCAACAAGAGCAAGCGTCAGGTTCCAATCTCGTATGCGCCAACGACAGCGACGACATTACTTTGGACTTTAAGCCTTCCTTGACGGAATGTCGAATCGAAAACGCGGCGCATGGCTACTTGCAGCCAAAGGCTAAAAAGGGACCAGTCACGCAAGTTTCACTGTCGCCACTGACCGGTCGTCGGCACCAATTACGCGTCCACATGGCTCTGCTCGGACATGGCATTGTCGGCGATCATACATATCAGACTTCATCCAGTCATGATGCTGCGGAACGATTGGAACGCATGTGCCTGCATGCCGCAAGCCTCGAGATTCCAGTGCTGGCCAATGGTGCCATGCTGAAGGTTACAGCCCCTGCTCCCTTTCGAGTTAATGAAACTGGCGTAACAATAAACCAACTGCACTGATTAGTTGCGACATTACAATGATAGAGCTGTTGTTGCGTTATTCTATTTCTTACTACAGCAATAGAAAAGCATTAAAACAGAACCAAAAGGGTGCGCACCATATTGGGATCGAACCAATGGCCTCAAGATTAACAGTCTTGCGCTCTACCTACTGAGCTAATGGTGCTGTTGTGACTTCAGATGACGTCCTTTGGCATTTGATCTCTGCACGACTCGCTAATTTGCAAAAATGCGCCACATCGGATCATTCCGAGTCGGCACAGCACTCAATTGCCTGCTTCATTACTGTATCACTTGCATTATACTGCACCAAATCACTGTTCTTCCACAAATTTATCATGCCGACCGTTCAATTGGACCTGCAGAGTGTTCCCTTAGTCGGTCGAGAGTTGCAGCTCGAGCAGCTCGACGCGTTGCTGCAGGAATCGACTTCCATCCATGAGCAACCTTTGCATCGTTACCATCACTATTCACAATATAATCCACTTCAATCACTACTGATACAAGGCTCTTTGGGAACTGGCAAGTCGTATCTTATGGAACATTGGCTGAATAGCCAACAAGATTCACATAATCTTCTGTTTGCGACGGGTGTCTTCAATTTGATCCAGAAGCATTCCATTCCATACGCAGCTTGGACGTTTGCCCTGGTTGAATTGGTGCGACTGGTGGCGACAAGGCAGAATGAACGACTCCAAGCCATTATATATCAACGCATGACACTAAGTGACGTTCAGTGTCTACTGGATCTCATACCACAACTAGGCGTCTATATGAGAGCGTCGGCAATTTGCGACGATGAAGTAAGCTCCAGTAGTTCCATTCTCCTCGCCGAGTCCGACACTGCCAGCAGCACGCATTCCGTGTACACTCATAGCACGTTTGCGGCAACGTCCGTCGACCGCTTCGCCCATTTGTATTGCTCCCTGCTGGCCTGCGTATGTCGAGCAATCAGTAGTGCAGCAGCACAGAAGAATCAGCAGCAGCAGTGCGTCTTGTGGATTGACAATGTACAATGGGCCGACGATAATAGTTTGGAGCTACTCAAGGCAATACTGGAGAATGACTTTGGTATAGAAAACTGTCGTTTGATCCTATCCGAGCGAACAACGGACGATGAAACCAACGTCAACGAACAAGGAGTGACTCGAGTCGCTTGCCTTGTGCGCGAGGCTTCGTGTTGCAACGATGAATACGATAGCAGTAGCAACAATAACGACACCTTGAGCATTACCATGACGCTGAACAATCTTTCTGTAAATGATGTGAATGCAATGCTATCTACCGTGTTGGAGCTGAGGCCCGAGGAAACGCAATCATTGGCGACCATTCTCTACGCCAAGACACTTGGCAATCCACTTTTCATTGTTCAATTTCTAGATTTGCTTCAGCGACAAGAGTTACTGACGTATTCACTTGATACCTACAAGTGGACGTGGGATGACGAAACTAAGCTGCAAGAAAGCTTGGTACATGTCGCTGACAATGTTGCCTCGCTCGTGTTGGAACAGATTGAGAGGCTAGATGGAACAACCCGCTCTCTTTTGCAGATTGCATCCTATCTTGGTTTTTCGTTTGACCAAGATGACCTGGCAATAGTCTGGCAGGGCATGAGTGTTGTTTCGAACGTAAATACATTGGCAGCAGATGCCACAATGCGGTGTGTGAATGGCATGTGCGCGAACAAGGCGTTGTCCGAGACCAAAATTTACGTCATTGAACGACTACAGCAGTGCGTTTCAATGCGACTGCTGGCCGCGCAGGCTAATGGTTGGTACAGTTTCACCCATAACACAATCCAAGCGGCCTTTTTTGAAATGTCGGACCGTCGCATCAATGGCGACCCATCCGTTTGCACCTGTAATGAGCTTGCGGCGAGCTATCTGCGACTGGGGTTTGTAATACTTGGCTTGTATCGATTACGACCAGACAAAAAGTGCAAACTGTTTGCAGCAGTCGAAGTTTTAAATCGAGGAGTTGACAATTTGGCGGATTGTCATTCCAAGCTGACGCTCGCTAAGCTTAATTTGGAAGCGGCTGAGCAAGCTGCCCTGCGATCCGCTTTCGCGCACGCAGCCGACTACTTGTCCACGGCCGTTGATGTGATTGCGCGAACAACAGATTCGTGGGAGTCAGACTATGACCTCACGCGGCATTTGTATCAACGATCTGCCGAAGTGGAACTGGTAGTCGGTCGGCACGATCGAGTCAAATTTGCGACAGATATTGTGGTCGACAATGCCAAAAACGATACGGAAAAAGTTGCTGCGTACATTGTGTTGGCCAAGTCATTGCGCATACAGAGTAAGCTGGTCGAAAGTCGTGAGATCATGCTGCGTGCATTGGGATTGCTCGGAGAGTCGTTCCCTCCACGGGCATCTCAAAAAAACCTCTTTTGGTCTCGCAACGACGTGAGTGCTATATTGAGCATGTCAAACGACCAAATTGCTCATCTCCCGACCATAAGAAATAAGGCGGACCGCTACCGATTAATGTTGCTATGTATGCTGGGTGTCAATTCCTATATGCAAGCTGATCATTCCTTCAAAACCTTAGTCATGAGGCGATGCCTCTCTCGCACGGCACAACTCGGTTTATGCAAGGCTTCGCCAGCGATTTTCGCTTTTTACGCGCAAGCGCTGTCTCACGAAGGAAAATACGAGGATGCATTTCGGTTTGGAGAGCTTGCAGTGCATCTATCGAAAAGGAAGATATCCAAAGAGAACCGAGCGATTGTCATTTTCTTCTTGGTTGCTTTTGTCGACCATCTCCGCAAGCCTCTGTATCAGAGTCTTCGCTTGCTGGAACAAGGATATCACATGGGCATGGCGTCGGGCGATCCAGAATCGGCCTTTATATGCGCAGGTACCAGACTTTCATTTCAAGATTGTTGCAGCTATCCCTTGAGTGCAATGATGCATGATAGCGCTGGTTATTTCCGACAGGCCCGTCAGTGCAACCAAGATCACATGGCTGCAGAATTCTTATTTATCTGGCAATATACTTTTAATTTGGCGGGCGAATCAGAGGATCCATTGGCGTTTGACGGGCGCATCCTGGGCGAGGAAGCATTTATGGCCCGCTTCGTGCATAAAGGTGGCGTCATTGCCCGCTTTGTTTCCAAGCTGCAAATGCAACTTTACGTGTTTATGGACGAGTGGGAATTGGCGACACAGATTGTCTCTAGCATTCCATTGCAATTTTTTCGCAACTTAAGTGGGCATTACAGTTTCGCTGTCATTTGCACCTTCTCCGGCCTTGTTTGGTACAAGGATTATATGCGCAGTAAGAGTAGAAAAGCATTAGCCGCTGGAAACGCTTGTCGCAAGGTATTGGAACGGTTCGTGTCCAAAGGCTGCGTCAATGTCACGGCAAGCTTTTGGCTTGTCGAAGCCCAGCATCTCGCGGTCACCAATGGCAAGCTTCCTGACGTGAAGGAAGGATTCGAAAAGGCGATTATTGCTTTGCATCGATCTGGTCTGCGGCACTTGGAAGCAGTCGCTTGCGAACTACTTGCCTTGCACGCATTGGCGGCGGACGACGAGGAACTGGCATCAGACTACATACAAAGAAGTTATACTCTTTACCGGGATTGGGAAGCCGGTGCAGTGTTGCAGCGCTTATCAAATGCACATGGTGCATTGCTGGGTGACGTTGTCAACAGCGATGCTCGCCCCAATCGTCTGGCAACGAGGCGTCTCATGAGCGGCAGCAGCACCAGTTTTGGACGAGATAGTGACATTTTTGACTCAGAATCGTCATGGTGGAGTAAGATTGAGCCAAGGGACGTGGCTGAACAAGGTCTGCCCGTTGCGAATGCTTGATTGAGAGAGTTATATCTTTCACAGTTGACCTTTGAAAAGTGCCGTGCTCCGGAAGTGATATACATAATACGTATACATAATATATAAAGTTTATTTTGGTTAAAGACATCTTCAAAACTCATATCGAATGGCGATTTGACAATTGAAAGCTCCGAGTCAAGATCAATTTGCATTGCGCTCGCAAAAGGCGGCAAGAATGGCATGCAGGTAAGAATCGCTAACATCCGCCGGCGTCAAGTACATGCGACGTCGAATGTTTGCAAATGTTCCATCTGGACCGTTCCATTCCTCCGTGGGCGGGCTACCAATGACAAGGTAAAGGTGCTCAATGGCATGCCGCTTTTGAGACTCTTCTGTCCGCGCCCATTCAGCTTGCAGGAAATGCGAGAGTGCGAAGCGATCAGGAGAATCTAGATTAGGATCACTATCGGACGAGTAGTCGTCATCCAAATCTTCATCGTCAGTGTCGACTTCACTTTCATCACTATCGAGGGTCGAATCATCATCTGCATCGTCCTCATTTTCCTCGTCGTAGTAGGAAGCTCGCGCAGCTTCACCGTGAAGTCCACCTTGATTATCATTCATGGATGACATTTCCTCTGGCCGTTTGTTTGCTACGCTAGCGTTGCAAAGCGAGAAGTGCTTTTATTGACGCAGGCTCAAGTCGTTGCCATGGCGAGAGCAACCGAAATTCGGATACAGGAGGTTGTTCTTCGGATCGTTCCATCATCGAAAGCTGTCGCAACGTGACTGGGAATGGAACTGCGTCACGACCTTGGGCATAAAAGGAGGACTTCCGACATCGCTTGGGCAATAGTATAAAGGGCAATATAAAATTGTGTCCACGTTGGAAAACGCGAAATTGAGTCACGAAGAATCCAATGCGTCATTGGTCGTCCGACAAAACAGATGCCCGAGCCGCAGCGAGTCTTCGGCGCTTCCAAGCAGAATTTGCCAACTCTTGGATCGATCCGCGCCACAAAAAGCAGTGCGTTCTCCTTATCTATTCTTCATTCCTCTCTTGATCACCATGGACGATACTTTCCCCGACTATCAAGGCAATCCTCGCTTTGAACAAGTCAACGATGGACTCGCCCAAGGTAACGGGATGCCTCATTTCCGTTCGTTGCCGGGGTGCGAATTCTCCGCGCTCAACCGTGATATTCGATTTGCATTCGTGGATCTTTATCTCTTTCCCTACGTAGGAAAGCTCATTTCGCTCCTGAGTGGACTGGTCGTCCTCCTCATTGAAGGCAAGCCGCCAGCGTTTCTCATTGATGGCGAAGGCGAGGCGGCGCCCAAGTACGTTCGCTACGGGCCCACCATGCAGCATAACGACCAT